GGACTTTAGTAGCACTATAATTTTTTTGGGATCTTACTTTTGTCGCAAGTTTGGTTGAAGAGCTTCAGGATACAGTTTCTGGCCTTCGGACCTAGTTTTTTTTTTATTTGAGCCACGCATATATCATCTTCTCCCACTTCCTTAGATACTTATGTGAGCTTTCTATTTACGATAAGTTGGCGAGCTACTTGTTCTGGTGTTATGTTGAAGGGTTGTTTGAGCTCCGTCTGATTGTCGTTAAGCTTTTTGATAAGGTTCTAGGATGGGCTGTTGTGCATTATGTCCATTTTATCTAAGGTGTCTACTTACTTTGCTAGTTTTGCTTCAGTGAGCGTCTCCATCAGAGTCGCTCTATAAGCTATTGTCTCCTCGCTGAATTATGCTTTGTTGTAGAGGTTTTTATACTCGGCAAGAATAGTTTTTGATTGTTCTACAAGGACTGATATGAACTGTTGGCTGCAGCCTACTGTTATATTTCGTTTTGATACTCTACGAAGATGTAGTTCTCCAGAGTAAGATAATTGATAGCTGTGTCCAAGACTTCTGCGTAGTTCTTTCATTTGACCTTTTTGAAGTTAAATCTTCTGCGAAATGGTACTATAACTAACATCTGGATGAATATTGGTCCGTGTTGAGTCACTGGGGTTGATTCATAGACCTTTTTGATACAGAAATTCTGTACGTTGCAGCCTACGAAATAGAAACAGGAATAAGGTAACTTAGGGTCATGCATAAGGGATAAGTTATTAGAATTTGCACACTCCTCTAGTAAATGTTTATTGGTATTTTGGGTTTTCGGGATACTGACGTTTTACACTGATGTTATTGTCGATGGTCTGCACTTTTATGTTATTATCTGTTGTCGCCGTAGTTTGACGACTTTTATTTGTATTAGGGGCCAGTTTTAGGAATTACGCAAATGTAATTTGTTGATACGAAACTGCACTTGGTTTTAACTATATATTTAAAACACTCAACTAAGGATTAACAACACTTTAACAAAAACAAATGGATAACAAAAAAACTTAACTATGTAGAGTGGACTGTATGAAACTTGAAATGAATGAAAATAGAAACCGAACGAAAAAAGCGAATGATTGAATTGAAGGCCAAATTGCAACTGTCCGAAAGAATGACTTAACTTCTGAAAATTAGAAAAATAGAAAAGTGGAGGAAATAGTTTGGGGGTGGAATTAAATTCAAATTGGAAAAGGTTGATTGGTTAGAGAAAAAGTAGAAGATCGTGATTTGTTATGAAAGGAAGACAGAAAGACAGAGGGGTAGAAAGATAGTGGGAGTACAAGAAGGGCATTAACCGGTACTTGGGGTACCGACACACGTGCAACGCATCTTTAGAAAGTTTGCAGTTTGCCTTGACTTCTGGGAAACAGACCCAAGAGAAAACCCAAATGAATTTTATTGGGGTGTTCGTGTTTGAATAGAAGAAACTGAATATTACAATAGAACTCGACACAATGGTCCATAAAATTTGTTGAACTTCGAAGGTCGGCAAACTACAAATTCCTAGACTTACTGCCGTAAAATGTACACAATTGAAAATACTACAATAATAAGAAAATAACCATTCTACTAAAATTAAAAAAAATAAATGCNACTTTACTGCTGTAAAATGTATCCTTTTGAAAATAGTATAATAATACGAAAATAACCATTCTACTAGAATTATAAAAATAAATGTCGAAAAAATATACAACTATGAAAATGAATAATACGACTCAACATTATCTATTATTTTGACCAGGAAGATTGCGCTGTCATGGTTAGGGTGTGTTTCTGGTCTACATGCGAGTTCATCTCTTTGGGGTTCTCGGATACAGAATTTTGAGAGAATGTCCTGTTTGTTCTTCGTTACTTCTTTCACTGTTTAGGCTAACAATAGTCAGTGTTGATTTCGAAAAAAGTCTTCTGGATTTTCTGGTTTGTATTAGGATTTTCGGTGATAGAAGGATTGACCGTTGCACGTAGTAATGTTACCAGGGGACATAGGCGTTTAATGTTTTTCGTGTTTCATTATCTTTGTATATAATAGTGTTTGGGATGTAAACACATTCGTGGAGGCTCTTTCTCTGTTTCCCTCATGTTATTTGAAAAACTAAAAAGGACCGTATTCCGGCATTAAATTAACTACTACTGATCTTTTGTGAGACATCTTTTTACACCGTCCACCAAATGCACGATTCAGGAAAATACTGACATCAATAAAACGCGTCCGTCGGCATTAAAGGTTTTTTTAGCTTTACGGGTAACAATAGAGAAAACAATAGAAAAAGGAAATAGCGTGTACATAGGATTTGTAGATTTAGAAAAAGCTTTTGACAATGTTAAATGGGACATTAACATCTTGTCACCAGCCCCAACAACAGGCAGTTATAGAACTGGAGCAGCAACGTAGAGAAGTAAGTATTAGGAATGGAGTCAGACAAGGATGTACACTGTCGTCGGTGCTTTTTACTCTATACATCGAAGACGCGATTAACAACATTATTAAAAACAGTACAACTGTAGCATGGAAGAGTTACAGATAGCTTTAAATAAAATGGAAGCGGTATTAACAAAACACTATTGTATGAAAATAAATAAAAGTAAAACAAAATACTTGTATGCAAGGGAAGAAAAAGAAGGGAAAGAGCGATTATAAAGATAGGGGACAAAAGATTAGAAGAAGTGGCTGATTTTAGGTATCTAGGAGAGTCAGGACGGAAGGAGTAGTAGGGATATAAAGCAGAGGATAACACAAAGTCGAGTCACCATCAATAAAAAGAAGTCACTTCTATGCATGGTTCTTCTATGGCTAATTTAAAAATTCGAAAAAGTTTGTTTTTAAATGTGTATGTTTGGAGAACGGCGCTGTATGGGTGTGAAACATAAGCAGTGGACGTGGCGGAAAAGCGAATTACTAGCGAATGATAAGGTTACCGTGGATAGAAAAGGTTAGAAATGAAGAGGTATTAGAAAGAACACAAGAACAGAGGACTCTAAGGAAGTCAATAAAAAATAGAGAAGATAGGTTGTTAGGACACCTTCTCAGGCATAAAGGTCTAGTCAATTATATATTAGACGTAGAAACAGGAGTTAAGAGGAGTAGAGGTAGACCTAGATTAAATTACTGTTCGCAAATAGTTAAGGATGTGGGATGTTCTAGGATAGAAAACAGTGGAGGTGCGTGTCCAACCAGTCTTAGGACTGACGACCTTATGATGATGATGATGGCGATTTTTACCGTTATTATAATTGTGTCAGACTCGGCTGGTGTAGTGCACCCGGTGTATATAAGAAAATAGCATGTCGTGGCTGCTCAAGCTGGACTTGGTGCGGCATTCTACGGGATTCTCCCAGGGAGTAGTGTAGTCAAATTAAGATTTTTAGAAGAACAAATTATATATTTTTTTAAAATTTGGCAATAATCAAGGATAGCCAATATAGGTCAAAAAAGTTCTTACCCCTATTATGGAATAAACACCCTTAAAATGGCGAAAAACAGCTCTCAAAAAGTACTTGATGGCAATTTTTCAAGTTATTTGATAAACACGTAGCTGCAAAAGTTGTTGTGATAAAAGATACAGCTGTGTTGGACTACGCTGCTCCTTGATGTGTGCGTACTGCACATTAATTCTGTTCCGGAACAAGAATTATTGTTTGATTTATTTTTTATTCGTGTCGGGAGCTTTACCTACCTTATTCATGTGGAAAAGGGTTCATAACAGCACACGCATTTTGTCGAGTATATTTATTTCTGCAACTTCTCTTCCTAAAGTTTTTGGCGTAGAATTGTCCAGTTTAAATTACAGTAGATTACCGTACAACACCAATTTTCCTGTTAAGGCAAAATTCATCTTACTTTAAGGTTTGGTTGCAAGGTGAGGGTTAGCGATCAGCAATTCTTTTAAGAGGTTAATTGCCAAATTTTCAAAAGTGTATCATTTTTTGTACTATTCGGTAATTTCACTTCTAATTTGAGTGTGTGTAGGTATTTAGTGTCTTTTGTATAATTATTAATAAAATAATTAATAAAACACTATTTAAACAATTAACCAAAAATTTATACGTGCCAACAACAATTTAAACAACAAAACAAACAGATGACACAAATTAAATACAACAACCAAAAACACACAAAGAAATAACAACAACAACAATAATAACAATAACAATGACAATAATAACAATTTATAACAGGAAAAGAGACTTACTGTAGAGACTGTCGAATGTAGAGAACACAGATGAATTAAAATTAATAGGGATGTTAGGAGTATTTATAGTAGGAAAATGTTAGTAAAAAGAGATAGAATACTCAAGATAGACAAAGACTTCTTCAACGTATTTGAAAGTGCTAGTCCGGCCCTGGTAGAGAAATACAACATTGCAATACTGAATTCAATAAGGTGCTACTTATCAGCATCCATGTATTTTTGTACTCATGTATTGTTTCTTTTTTATTAGATTAGATTAACTGTGATTGACGATGTTTATGTTTACAGCCAGCCTAGAGTAGTTCTTTGTACATTTGACGTTGTATGCTTTACGTATGTAGTCAATCGAAGTCATTAGAAGTAGGTCAATATATCAGTTCATAGGTTAGTGCATTGACTAATGCCTGAGTTTCTAGACGAACATTTACCCAGACGCTGGATTGGACAAATGGGTCTTGTGCCATAACCGACGCTTAGTTTGATTTCTTTGTACAGGGTATCAAATAGCACATGTATCAAACGCCAGAGCACAACTCTAATGGGTAACATGACCGTGAATGATTTTTGTACGCACGTAAATGTGTGTCTGTATTTATTAGTGTTGTAAAGAAATTGTGTGCTGTATGGATTTGGTTCTCATCAGCAGGGAACTGTATATTCTTAATTAATTATTCACGTAGGGTGCTATGGGTTGAGTTTAATCAGTGATATTTATAATTGAAATTGACCATGATACAAACGACGATATACCATGCAATAGTAATTCAAATTTTGGTATTTTGATTTCAGTTAACGTACTCGTGACGATCAACGGTGGCGGTAGAAAGCGGCAACGACGACGAAGAAGACGGTGCAGAAGGAGGTGATGAGGGCGGCGGAAGAATATTCGGAGTTGTCGGAATTCGGAAGTGGTTCGTTTACTGGCGCGCGATATGGTGTTTACGCGGGGAGCGGTCGGATTCCCGGTGGTAGCGCGGACGGAATCGCCGGCGGTCGATTACCCGCGGAAGCCGAAGATGCCCTGGGTGTTGCCGATAGTTTACACGGCTACACCAGGGGACGCTCTGGTCTGTATTACTCTCCTCCTGGAACGTCGTACACTATCGTGGAAAGGCCCTCCTCGGCAATGTACCATCATCCAAGGGATAGAGAATTGGACAGAGAAAGGGATAGAATGCATTTCGGGAAAAACCCAAGAGGTGAGAATCTTTCTATTAACTATCTGTAAATAAAATTCTTACGTAATATGACATGAAAATGGTCTCGTCTAAATGCTCTTCAAAAGACACTAAATTATTATATAAGTTCGAAGCTTTCATGTAACGAAATTCCTGAACTTGACGGCTGAGGTAGTATACATCATTTAAAACAATCTAATTAATTGGGATTAACGCAGGCGCATAACTATGTTAGGGCTAGGGTGTGTGGTGCACCGAAGCTCCGAGCGTTCAAGAGGCCTCCGTCCAGGCAAAAATAATGGTTGAACTCGTTTATTGTTTGTATACTTTATGTCATCTTATTTTTGCCACTATTTTTTATATCTGTTATCAATCGTAGTTTAGGTACTATTTGCATTTTGCACAATAAAAGACATTTTAACCGATACTATAGAGTAATTCTTTTGTTTAATTTGGGTCCTAAAAATATTGTAGCGAGCACGAATGTGTATGTGTGCAATCGGGCACACGTGTGCGTGAACCGCTTATCGATTCGCCGACTAGCCGCGGGTGCCTTTCTTCATGTGCGCCGTATTTGTAAATGTGTGTGTCGTACCTGCGTTCTGGGAAAGCAGTTAAACAGTTCAAAGAAAAAATAAACTATCCGGATGTTTCCAGAAAGTTCCAGAAAGTAAACAAAAGAGTATTTAAAGGAAGAGACGATCGCCGAAAAGAAGACATATAAACTGACCGTTGCAGAAGTGAATCCAGAAATAAATT